CTCTGAGCAAAAAGACGTACCTCCACATAGAACACTTGCGTACACGGGGCGTATGAGCCCCACTTGAGGTCACTGCGGATGCGCCTCTTCCACCGGGGTGCGCATTCCCTCAGGACGTTTCACGCAGCCACAGTCAAGAATAGAACGAGGGTGCATAATGGGAATGCGGTGCGGCGGCAATACGGACACTGGCTCGTTTGAGTTGGACGCGCGGCGGTGCCGAGTATTCTCTTCCACATTCCTGGCGCCGCTGTGCATCTAATCTCACGGTCCGCCGATGTATGCGCATTGTTATCATTGTGAGGGGTACCAGTTGTATCATCATGGGGTGGTGTGTGGACGACGTTGGTAGGTACTCACAGCATTGGGACATCTCGGTAGCTGACATGTCGCCAACCTTCACAGATATCTTGCGGTTGTCGTACCGCAAGAAGGTAGAACCTGAGGTTGCTGTATCCCATAGACGCAGCTATGAAAGTTCAAGCCAGGGAATCCAGCACTTAATCAGCTAGAGGATACTACGTTGTGTCGACGCGGATGTCCGTATACTCTACTATACGTCCGTCATCGCCGTTGATGGTCAGTGCATCAATCGTTTTCCCTGTCGCACGTCACATCTTGGCTGATAGTCTTCTCAGCTCTACGTCGCGGTCCGCGCAAACAGTCAAGCACAGCGGAGTTCCTATAACCGAAAGCAGAGAGGTAGATATTGCCAGAGACGATGAAGTGACATGGGTGCTAGGCTGTGACTGATTGTACAGACACTCCGTGGTTCCGAAGTGGTTGAAATCCAAGGACTACGGAAGACACTCTGTCGAGCGATATCGTGTCCCGCTGTATATAACAGTGTCGAAGGCTCCAACAAAGAGCAATCATCGAGCAGGAAACTGAACTTGGTACGCTCACCCCCACGCCGTCGGAAGTGGCGCACTCTTACTAAGTTTGCCGAGTTAGCTTTCATAGAGCATCTCGCAACCAACACAACGACAACTTCCGTAGTTCTACGCTCTCCCAGCCCCGCGGTAAGCAACCTTCGACTCACCTCGTAACGCATATATATTTTGACCGCCGGGTCGCCAGAATAGTCGCCATGCGTCTCATCGACATTACTCAGCTTAACAACTTGAAGTTTCATGAGGTTGAGGACCCACGCTACGTGCGCTATGCCATCCTCTCCCATGTCTGGAACAAGAACGACGGCGAAGGGGCCTTCGTCCCGGAGCCTACTTTCCAGGACCTCTTACTCGTCATGCAGGAATCTGGTGCCTTGTCCGAGAAGGACGCCAGGTTCACGAAGCTGACAGGCTTCATTCGAGCTGCCAACGCACGCGGATACCAATACGTGTGGGCGGATATGTGCTGTATCGACAAGACGAGCAGCGCCGAGGTCGCCAAAGCTATCGCATCTATGTACTCCTGGTACCAATACGCCGGAGTCTGTTACGCGTACCTCAAGGACGTCCCCGCTCCTCAATGCGAACCGGACTCCCTTCCTCCTGGCCCTCCGACACAGTTCTTTCAGAGTGAATGGTTCAAGCGCCTTTGGACTCTCCAGGAGCTCCTCGCACCCAAATCCCTCATTTTCTTTTCTGAAGATTGGCACGTCATCGGTACCAAGCGCGGGCTTTCACAGACCATTCAAGCAATCACGAACATCGACGCTGAAGTCCTCACTGGCAAGCGTGAGGTTCACGAAGTCAGCGTGAAATGCCGGATGTCCTGGGCGATGAACAGGACTTCCTCAAACCCTAACGATCGTGCGCACTGCCTAGCGGGTCTCTTAAGGGTACGTGTTGTAGTGCTTTACGGTGAACAAGAGTGCGCGTTCATCCACCTACAGCCCGAGCTCGAGAAGGTCAGACGGATCTCCGACCCAACTCTCCTTGCTTCAGGACTCCGGCGCCGCTTCTCCTGCCTACTCCTGGTGTTCCCGGAGAACGAACGTTGCGGAGGGGACTTGTGGCAGACGGACCATGTGCGGGCGCGTTCGCAACTCTCCTCGCGGTTCCTTTACTGGGACACTGGCTACTTGTTTGTATCTTCCCCGGGCGTCGTCCTCCAGACTGTGCAACTCACGACGGCGACATATAACCAGCCCAAGTTCTACCTGCCTTTGAGCGCCCCGATGGACCACTGGCGCGTGGGGGATCCCTGGAAGGCTGAAACATTTCGCGAGAATGGGGGCCACTTTGACGTGCATCTTTTCGGATGGTATCAGTCTGCCATGGGAGGAGCAGGGTCCATCATTGGGCAAACACCACTCTCGAAAGATAATCCGTCCCATTCTATCATTTCCTCTCCACCTATAGATCTCACAATCTATGTCAGAAACGGAGACCAACGAATTGCCGTGGAAGTCATCGAGACGGCGTTCGCCAGTTGTCTACGACCGCCTTGCTGTCTTCCTACAGGCAGTCTCACTAGCAAAGAGGATAACCTCAAATTCCCTCTTGTAGGCAGTACCATCCTCCACACTGCCCCTAGCTGCTTCCGTACGTCGCATTCGGCGGCCACCCTGGGCCAAGAAGGACAAATTTGCGCATTCTCGACTGCTGCCGTATATGAGCTCACCGGATGCGCGCTAGGCCATTACGCCAGCCAAGACCACGTGTCAGAGAAATTCACGCTGCATGTTTGGCTTAGAGTGTTCCTGACGGCCCCGCGCAGGTTGAGGAGCGCTCTGTAGCAGCTCGAGGGCTGAACGTGAACCTTCGAAATAGAGTTCTACGCTCCGAACATCACCCCCTTGCCCCACACTGCACTGGCTTCGAATGCGGATGCAAGACCTCGTGGCGGGACCCTTGGTCAAGCCGACCCAGCAATCAGTCTTCAGTGAAGGTGATATATACATTTCTTATGTAACCAGTAACGCTCATGCTTCTCCCATTCAGCGCCGTGGTACCTCACATCCCAGACATGAGAGCAGATGGACCGATATGGATACGCACGGTCCGGATGCACATATGATAGGTAACCAGGAATCGACGATTTACACACGTACTACCGATCGCCTCTCTACTTGACATTGTACTACTCTCACTCTTATAGCATGGCGGGTCGAACACCACTCATGGGTACTACCACTCACTTGACTCTCATCAGACACGGCATGGAGAATTCTTCTGCCTTTCCACTCGAAATCTACTTCGAAATCATCGACTCCATCGCTAGCGACAAGACGCAATGGGACGCCTCGATTACGATCCCTGCCACTCTCCGAGCCTGTGCTCTGACATGCTCCGCATGGCTCGAGAGGGCGCGCCATCGTCTGTACGAAGACGTCGAGATTTCGGAGCGAACCCATCCAGACCAGATCTGGTCATTCGCACAAACCCTTATCGACTTTCCCGCCTCGGCCGCGCTAGTCAAGCGCCTTTGTGTCCACCTAGGAGAAGTCGGAGCGGAACATTGGAAGAACGAGGATAACGCGCTGGCAGAATTTCCACCTGAGGCCATCCGACAACTCACAGGGCTGGAAACCCTCGATTTCGAGTGCCTCGACTGGGTAGGCCCCGGCTGTGAGCCTTCACTGCTGTCCGCCGTCTTTGCCTTTTCCATCGCGACATCAGCGAGGACCTTGCTCCTCGCCGGGTTCACCTTCAAGTCGTTGGCGGTTGTCGTGAGCCACCTGAAGAACTTCGGCCACATTCAATCGTTGCATTTCATCACAACCTCGTGGATAGACCCTGAAGTGCCCGCGAGCGAAATCGGCCCTGATTTCTTACCCAATCTGACTTACTTGGAGGTGCGTCCTGTGACAACACCAATGATGTCCCGCCATGATTTTGCTCACCTCAAAGTGAACACAGCTTTCCGGCAACGTTCTCGAAGATAATCTGCTTCAAATCATGCCCCCGACGATCAGAACCCTCAAGCTGGGGCCGCCTACTGACTATCATGAGGATACCGACCCTGACGAGTCCTATGCAGGCGAGTTTTGATGGCACTGTCGGTGCCCAGCTTGCAGTTTGCTGACATGATGCCTCGTCTAGCTCTTTCGCGCTACACGCAACTCGAATCCCTAATTCTGAACACAGAAATGCTGGGCGAGAACCATGCGGACTGGTTCAGCGAAGCTCTATCCTTCGTGCGCTCCCCCGGCCTCCATACCATCACCTTCATTTACGGCCATGTCGACTCCGTGGAGGAGGTCGCAAAGTATTCACAACTCTTGGCATTGGATGCCATTATGTCGAACGAGCCATTCCTCGATGTCCAAAGAATATTGGTGGAGATTGGCGTGCATGTGGAGCAGGAGGAAGATGTGGCCACCAAGCTGCAACTTATAGAACGGTACATCAGAGTCGATGCACTTCGTCAGTGCCAACAGCGCGGCGTACAGGTACAGGTCAACTGTCAACATGGTCCTGGTAAGCAAAAATAATCCAATTACCATCCCATGATGATTGCTTTCTAACTAATGTATTTATACAGTAGGGCTCATGTAAAATGGTTCACGATTCACTAGCCGAGATGCACAAATTTTGCGTTATGTGCCGCGAAGCAAGTAACTTGTCATATCTCGTACGTCCAGCTACTGGGCAGTAAGCTAATTCCAATTTAACATGCACGTCCTCCAGCTCTGATCGACTGGAAGCCAAATTCCACTTGGAATGTACTTATATGTTGAAGTCTACGCATTCTCCGATCTGTGACCCTGGTCTTTGCCAAACGTTCGAGTTACCGCTCTGCGCGCTGTTGTAAGGCCCACAGATCGAAATCTGTAAAAGCCGCTTGTTGTTAGGCGAGCACACAGGTTACATCCGAGTTTCGATAGATATACTAGCATAAGAGCAAAGCGGAGTGGCCACAATAGCCACCACTGGCAGGTTGGCCACGGCACGGTCGCGGTTTCCGACTCCCCGTGGGCGCTAAGCCTTCCTCTTCACCACAGAAATGCTTGCTACTCTTGTAACTACGGGAGTGATTTCAATCAGCAATCTATGCGACAGCGAAAGCGGCGACTTCTAGCGTATACACGCAGGAAAAAGGGGAAAAATTGTCCCAGGGAGGATTCGAGCCTCCGTCTTCACGGCTCGCGCATTTCCACAACGTGATGATCTAACCACTAATCGACAAGGACGGTGAACATCCTGAGTTTAATATAATCACTGTACACAAGCGCCTCTGAACAGCGACGATCTGGCGTCGACTCGTGCCGCGGTCGCGCGCCGAGTGTGGCGGATGCAAGTACGAGTCTGGCCTCCGGACCCGACTGTCTTTCCCTCCACCACGTCCACTCTCCATCACATCCATCCGGACGAGCGATTGGCGCAATGAGAAAGACGTCTTATGTCGTCGCGTTTTTTGCGGTCATCGCGACCATGCTTTTGGTGAGTACTAAACAACATTTGCAGTTTCCACGCTAAGTAACTAAATCATTGACCCCTACAGAACTCCTTCTCGATGCAGCGGCCCGACTGGTCTGTCTCTTGACCATGAATTCCAGGTAAAGTGCTCATGCCCCGCTCGCCCTCCCGCAGGCTCGTCGTGCACGACGCGGACATCATCCACAAGGCCGTTGTTGTCGAATACGGCCTCAGCCGCCGCTGCGAGCTCAAAGTCGTCGAGATCCCGAGCGGGGACGGTGGTCACATCACGTACACGAACTACGACTGCCGTCCGTTCCCGTTGCGCGTCACCGACGGCTGCGAGAAGGAGAACAAGCAGTTCTGCGTGATCTGGGGCACGGCAAGCTACTTTGCGAACCTCGGCGTCGGCTTTGCGGTCGTTGCCTGCCTCGCGATCGGCTTCGGGGTCTCGACCCACTCTCGTAGGAGGCGCATCTGGAAGTCGGTGTCTGTGTTGGTTGCGCTACATGGTGAGTTCTGTTGCAGATCGAGGCGGGGAAGCGATTAATTGTATTTCTGCAGTGCTGTCTCAAATAATCGTCTTCGCTGTCATCACGCACCTCTATCGCACAGACGCATTCCCCACCTTCGAGCATGCTCGTCCTGGTATGTCCCTGCCAAACACACGTTGCACGCGGAGATGGCTCATTATTTCCCGCAGGTTGGGCGTACATACTCAATACCTTGTCCTGGGTCCTTGGTCTCTTGGTCATGTTCGGCGTGGTGACCACTGGAATGTCTGCTGAGAGAGGCCACCGCTGGGCTGCCGGAAACAGGGCCTATCAGCCTATCGCTGGTTGAGGACGCTGTTTGGATCACTCCGCGCTGTATGGACGGACAGGATACCTCTACCCTCGCTTAAACGATGTTGCAACCTTGGAATTCCCTGCGCTCTGCTCTCAATATTTTCTCTCTTATGATTGCGACTTGTATGCCTAGCTCCAGTCTGTCCGAATCGTCCTGATTATTTGCTACCTACTACTAGTACTACTTGAGATTCAAGTTCCCATTCAGTGTGCTTGACTACTTCTCCGTCCAATAACATCATATGATCCGCCAGTATTTCTGTGCCTATCTGCAAGCCTTCAAAACTGAATATACTACAGCGGAGACTGCGCAGGCCTCCTGGCAGCGTTCTGACCGAGTGGATCCGAGAACGATGCTATAAGCGCCTGCCGGGACGCAGGAAAAGCACGTGAACGGGATCGGCACTGGAAGCGGATGCGGGGAAAGTTGGAGCTCATCGTCCACTCGACCGCGACCACGACCTCGACGACGCCATGCTCCGCCTACGCCCAGTCCTTGCCACAGGCAGCCTCTCCAGGAGGTATGCCACCGCCGCAAGTCCCCACGCTCTCGTCCTGCTCGAGCACCGCGCAGGAGTCATCGACTCGGGCTCTCTTTCTGCCCTTACTGCTGCTCAGCAACTTGGAGGACAGATCACTGGTCTCGTCGTCGGAGCGCCGGATGAGGTCAAGGGTGTTGTCGAGAAAGCGAAGAAGTGAGTGCGCAGCACACCAGTCTAAATACCAGCTTCTGAAGCAGGCAAGCCAGACTGAAAGGGCTCACGAGCGTGCTGCACTCTTCGTCGGAGCAGTATGCCCACAACATCCCTGAACTCGTCTCACCATTGCTCGAGAAGCTCCTCTCCGACATCACGTCCTACACGCACGTTGTCTCCGCCCACTCCTCGTCCGCGAAGTCGATTCTTCCCCGTGTGGCCGCACGCCTCGACCTCCCCGCGGTGTCCGACATTACCTCTGTAGAGCACGACGGCTCGTCCAACTCGACCACATTCACACGTCCCATCTACGCCGGCAACGCCATCTCGACAGTCCGCGCACCGGAGTCGGTGCGCGTCAAGTTCTTCACCGTCCGCTCGACCGCGTTCAAGGCATCACCTGCAGACGAGTTCGCTCAAGTTGAGGACAAGGCTGTCGACCCGGTAGAGGTGTCGGATGCCCCCACGCAGCATGTGCGCACAGACCTCACTAAGTCGGACCGTCCAGACCTGGGCTCTGCGAGCCGCGTCGTATCCGGTGGCCGCGCGCTGAAGAACGCGGAGACCTTTAAAGCTACGCTGGAGCCCCTGGCGGACGCCCTCGGTGCGGCCATTGGTGCGTCGCGCGCGGCGGTGGACGCCGGTTACGCGGACAACTCCTTGCAGGTCGGTCAGACCGGCAAAGTCGTCGCGCCTGAGCTGTACATGGCGATCGGTATCTCCGGTGCTATTCAGCACTTGGCAGGAATGAAGGATTCAAAGCTCATCGTAGCAATCAACAAGGTTGGAAGTTTGCACCACGTATATGCGGATCATCGCTGACTCGCGCGTACTGCACAGGATCCCGAGGCTCCCATCTTCCAGGTAGCGGACGCTGGTCTCGTGGCGGACCTGTACGAGGCGGTACCCGAGTTGGTGCAGAAGCTCAAGCAGTAGACACAAGAAGTCAATACAATGCGCATCGACTAGCCCCCGAACCTCGGCTCATTTCTCCAACTAACGGCTCTACGAAAACTCGTCGTGCTCCGCGTTCCTTCCTTTCTATGCTTTACAGAAGGTAGGAGGTCTATAACCTCGCGGCTGGAGCAACTGTCGCCATAAGCACTTGGAACGCCTTCTCCCGCTCTCCCTCAGGCGTCGTCTCCCATAGCCAATCCCACTGGCTGCCAATTTGCGGACCTAGACGCACGAGGTCATCACCCAGCGACCCGTTAAACTCGTACATGTCCCCAGACTCCCGCGATCCTTTCAGTACGTGGTTCGCCATGGGCAGACGCACCGCTTCATATGCTGCAAGCGCTTGAAAGATTGTGGACAGACTTGTATGCGGGTGGCCGAGGACCTCTGCAAGAATGAACGCATCCTATCGAAGCTTTCGTCAGAAAATGTAAGGGTTTTTAGTAGGTCAGTGCTATGTCTGAGTACCTCGATTGCTTGCCCTGCACCAGCGCCCTGGTGCGGACACATAGCATGCGCCTAGCAACAAAATCGTTGATCGGGTAAGTATGGAAGAAGACGGGAGCCTGACGTTCACTCACAGCGTCACCCAGCAGCACCACTCGTCCCTGGGTATAGAAGGGCAGGGGCTTCAGCTCGTGGATCGCCCACTTCGTTGGCTTTTCGATACGCTATACGTCTGATCAGATCCCGTGTGCGCTTCCGTTTGCAACACAACGGCTGACCTTGAGCATTTCCTCGACCTCTGGTTCCCAGCCGGCGAAGCACTCCAAGACCTCTTCCCGGCTACAATCTGTGACCCATGGTCCTGCGTACATAGATTTGTACAGATGTGGCTGCGATGCCATCGCCACGACGTTCACAATGGACCCTCTGGAGATCGAGTAGCTCACGACATGCTGGAGGAAATTGTTAAGACACCCGCTCCTAGCTCAGAGTGCGCATGTGTGTGTGTAACACCCTACCTTGCTCTTCCCACAATACTGCAGGAAGATCGTCCGTGAACACGGTAGCGGATAGGTTTACAGCATATTGCCACTTACCATCATGGGACTCCGGATCGTACGGTGCTCTACGCCGTCTGGTCGGACCATTTGACTAACAGGAATGAGCCCGCGGTACGCAATCGACCCGCTCCATACTGGCTCGATATGGTCCAGGAGACATGGGTCGCCGCCTCCTTCACGGACGTGGTCCTCCAGCATCTGTTTGCGCACGACGGATTTGATCCCATCGCAGCCTACAAGAATGTCGCACGTCGCGACGGAGCCGTCGGCGAACAGGAGCTCGGTTTTGGACGAGGCGCCATGCTCCGTCGTGCGGTAGCTGGCTAGCCGTTTCCCGAAGTGCGCGACGCCTGGCGGGAGGTGGTCCACAAGCACATCGAGGAACTGTGCCCGGTGGAAGCGGATGCAGCCGTCTATGGGGCAGACACTCAGTATGCGTTACCGGATGCGTGGATTAGTCGGACCTACAAGGCACTTCGAAGAGATAGAAGCGAGAGCCCTCCTGTGGCTGGTCGGATTTACGGTAATCGAATCCAACACCTAACGCAGCGTGAGACTATGTGGAAGTCTGTGCGGAGTGGTGCATACCAGGGGAGCCATCCGGAGGGGCATGTGCGATACGGGAGAAATCCTCTGCCATGCCGAGGATAGTCAGGATCTCCCATGTCCGGGCCCATATCATCACCCCTGCGCCAATCTCCTTGAACTGCCCGGCAGCCTCATACACGTCGACACGAATGTCTGGGTACCTCGACAATGCGACGGCAAGTGTGAGGCCGCCGATACCTCCGCCACTATACACACTTCAGTATTGAGAGGATTGCTAAGACAGTTGAGCACGTACCAAATGGCAATGCGGAACTTGGGTGCACCCATACGTTGTAGGGTCAAGAAGTACCACACTCTCACCAAACCCATCCTCTTATGGGATTCTCATAGCGTTCAGGCACTCTGTCAAGACCCACCTTATCCCAAATCCCACCCACCAACGCTTCTTCTGGTCATCCCACCAGCGACTCCCGACAGCAGAGCACGTGGCTCGCGGTGCTGCCACTTCTGCGAGGTCGCACGCGATAACCAAGAATGTGAATCCGGAATCTATGGGAAAACATGGCGTACAGAGATGAAATGTGACTACAACGTTCACCGCTTGCCCGCGATACCGACCCGGGAGCCCCGATTTTGTTTCTTCGCAGCCTGCGAAAGCGGCATGTATGCGTATGGATCCACACCGTTCTTTTTGACGTCCCCTCCTGCTTTCTATATT